TTATTAATTTGGGTCCCTTCTCTTTTCTTTTGGATAAGTCTGGCCAGTGGTTTATCGATCTTATTAATTCTTTCAAAGAACCAACTCCTAGTTTAGTTGATCTGATCTACTGTGTTTCTCGTTTCTAATTCATTGATTTCTGCTCTAATCTTAATTATTTGTCTTCTAATGCGTGGCATAGGCGTCGTTTGTTGCTTTTTCTCTAGTTCTTTAAGGTGTAGAGTTAGTTGGGGAATTTGGGATTTTTCTATTTTTTTGGGTGAGGTTTGGATGGCTATGTATTTCCCCTTTAGGACTGCCTTTGCAGTATCCCATAGGTTTTGGACTGATGTGTTTTTGTTCTCATTGATTTCCATGAATTGTTTAAGTTCTTCTTTGATTTCTTGGTTGACCCAAACATCCTTGAGCAGAGTGGTCTTTAGCTTCCAAGTGTTTGAATTTCTGCCAAATTTTTTCTTGTGATTGAGTTCCAGTTTTAGAGCATTGTGGTCTGAGAATATGCAGAGAATAATCTCAATCTTTTCGTATCTGTGGAGACCTGACTTGTGACCGAGTATATGGTCTATTCTGGAGAAAGTTCCATGTGCGGCTCGAGAAGAATGAGTATACTGTTGTTTTAGGGTGGAATGTTGTGTAAATATCTATGAGGTCCATCTGGTCCAATGTATCATTCAAAGCTCTTGTTTCCTTGTTGATTTTCTGCTTAGATGATCTGTCCATTGCTGAAAGTGGAGAATTGAGGTCTCCTACAATTAACGTATTGTTATCAATATGACTCTTTATTTTGGTTAACAGTTGGCTTATGTAGATGGCTGCTCCCATGTTGGGGGCATAGGTATTTACAATTGTTAGATCTTCTTGTTGTATAGACCCTTTAAGAATGATATAGTGTCCTTCTGTGTCTCTTATTACAGACTTTAGTTTAAAATCTAATTTGTCTGATATAAGAATTGCTATCCCCGCTTTCTTTTGAGCTCCACTGGCATGGAAGGTAGATCTCCATCCCTTCACTTTCAGTCTGGATGTATCTTTAGGTTCAAAATGAGTCTCTTGTAGACAGCATATGGATGGGTCCTATCTTTTTATCCAATCTGCAACCCTGTGCCGTTTTATGGGAGTATTTAGTCCATTCACGTTGAGAGTGATTATTGAAAGATATGAATTAATTGTCATCATGTTGCCTGTGAAGACCTTGTTTTTATAGATTGTCCCTGTAAATTTCTGTTGTAGATCACTCTTGGGGTCTTTCTCTTTTTATAGAACTCCCCTTAATATTTCTTACAGGGCCGGCTTAGTGGTCACATATTCTTTCAACTACTGCCAGTCGTGGAAGCTCTGCATCTCTCCATCCATTCTAAATGAAAGCCTTGCCAGATAAAGTATTCTTGGTTGCATGTTCTTCTCATTTAGTACCCTGAATATGTCTTGCCAGGAGTTTCTGGCTTGCCAGGTCTCTGTGGATAGGTCTGACGTTATTCTGATGTTCTTCCTTCTGTACGTAAGGAATCTGTTCCCCCTAACTGCCCTTAAGATGTTTTCCTTGCTTCTAAGATCTGCAAGTTTTACTATTACATGCCGGGGTGTTGGCCTGTTTTCCTTGATCTTAGGAGGGGTCCTCTCTGCCTCTAGGACTCGAATGTTTGTTTCATTCCCCAGATTAGGGAAATTCTCAGCTACGATTTGCTCAAATACATCTTCTAGTCCTTTCTCTCTCTCCACTCCCTCCGGGATTCCAATTATTCTGACATTGGAATGCCTCATGGTGTCACTTATTTCTCTGATTCTATTTTCATGGATTCTGAGTTGTTTTTCCCTGGCCTCCTCTTTTCCCTTTTTATCTATTATTTTGGCCTCCAGGTTGCTTATTCTCTCTTCTGTCTCAGTTACCCTAGCTGTTAGATTATCTAGATTGGATAGGATCTCATTGATAGCATTTTTACGTTCTGCCAATTCACTTTTTATTTCTGCCCTTAGAGACACTATGTTGGCATTAATTGATTTCTCCATTCTAGCCATTGTCTTCACAATTGCTAGCCTGAATTCCATCTCCGACATCTTGGTTATATCTGCATCCATTTGTAAATCTGCAGCATAAGTCATAATCTCTGAGTCTTTTCTGTTTTGGGGGCTCCTCCTCCTAGTCATTCTGTTGATGGGTGTTTGAGGGAATGTATAGAGTCCAAATTATTGACCAGAACCCAAGCAAGATGCACCTGTTTTCTTGGGACCTTAGGGTTGCTGGCCTCCTGTTTTCCCAGCCTGTCTTCTGGGGGAAGGGCCTGCCGCGCTGTTACTCAGGCAATCCTGTTTGGGCGGAGTTGCCCTGCGCCCCTGTGGCGGGGAATGGGCTCAGTAGGAATCAGTCTTTGGGGCTTTTGTTCTCTGGCGCCTTCCCCTGGTGGCTTTCCGTGTCTCTTCTGCGAGTCAAAGCTGAAGAGACCCTTTCCAACCCTCTGCCTCAGAGCAGAGAGACTGCAGTCTGTTCTTCAGTGAGCTCTCCAGGCCACACTGTCTCCATTTCTGTCTGTGCTGCTATAAACTGCAGCGTCCTGGGTTTTGTGCCCCTCCGCAGCACCCCCAGTCCTGCCTCCAGGTCAGGGCATGTCTCTGTCCTTTGTGCTTCTAAAACCGCCAGCCACTCCCAGTTCGCATACGCGCGACTCCACTGCTCAGGGTTTCCACCCCAGGTGTTGCAGTTCACCTGCACGACCCCGGCGAACCAGGTTTTCGACTTGGAGGCTGCAGTTCGCGTGCATGCGACCATTGCTCCGGGTTTCTGTCCGGGGGGGTTGCGGTTCACGTGCGTGCGACCCCGCCGGTCTGGTTTTCTACCCCAGGGGCTGCCCTAAAGTCCTTTCCCGATGCTACCGCTCTGCGAGTCTGTGCCCCATCCGCAGCGCGTGAGGCTGTCACTCACCAGCGGTGTAGGATCCCCACAGCCAGACACCCTCCCGCTGCCATTTATCCTCTGATATCTGCCCGCAGAATCACGGCTCTCCGCTTCGTACCTCAAAACCAACTGCCTGTGATATTCTGTTTGTAGAGATCCAGATCTTCTTACATCTCAGGCTGGTTTTGTGGGTGCTCAGAGTGGTCTGGTAGACATCCAGCTCAATTCCGGGGACCAGTTGAACTAGGGTCCCCTACTCCTCCGCCATCTTTCCCCCCTCCCCCTGTACTGTATTCTTTTTGTCACAACCATAGTGTCATTGGATAATAAACCTGATTTGTCATTTAATTTGATAAGAAAATAATTCTTGCTCAACTGGACCTTAAAAGTATATGTTCCAAGTCTGATTGTCTCTTCTTTTCTTGATTTGACATAATGGTCATGCACAAGTAATGTAAATAAATAAACAAACAAACAAACAGACAGTCACATTAAGGTGATATGTTGGGGCACTTGAAGCTGTGGGGAAGGAAAAATAATTTTCGCTCTACACTTGTAGGTTCTTAACTGAGACCTCTTGTAGTAACAGACAGATTAACAGGAGAAAAACAAACAAAAGTTTAATAACATGTATGCTTCCTATATACATATAGGATACCTAGAAAAATGGAATAACTTTCTGAAGTGGCCCAAGACATTACCCTAAATCCATCTTCAGCTAAAGACAAAAGATGTTGGGGGGTGGGTGAAACAGTTAAGGAAGGTTTCCAGGAAGAGCACAGTAAACAAGTAAAGAATCTGTTATGCAGGCTTAAGTTTGTTGCCTTCTCCAATGATGAGTTGCTAAAAATTTGGTCACCTTTCTCTTGCAGGTACAGAAAAGGAAACATCCTTTTTTCCCTTATAAATATAGTATTTCTTTTTTTTTTTTAAAGATTTTATTTATTTATTTGAGAGAGAGAATGAGAGACAGAGAGCATGAGAGGGAAGCGGGTCAGGGGGAGAAGCAGACCCCCCCTCTGAGCAGGGAGCCCAATGTGGGACTCGATCCCAGGACTCCAGGATCATGACCTGAGCCGAAGGCAGTCGCTTAACCAACTGAGCCACCCAGGCGCCCCTAAATATAGTATTTCTTATGAAAGGGTAACTTCTACTCAGTTTTCAGAGCTTTTCTTATGTTTGTTTTTTCTTAAAAATGATCAACCTAAGATAATCTTTATGCCAAAGAAACACATTTTGGAGTGACAAAATCTGCACTCCTTCAAAACACTGTCAAATAATAATTGTATCACTGTAATTTGTAGCACACCAAACAACAGTACGAAGTTCTGAGAGTGTGACATAATATCTCAAATACACTACTCAACTCTGCTATTATAGCATGAAAACTATCAACATTCATTGCGTTTTTTCAGCTTCTTGAAAAATCTTTCTTTTTCATAGATCAAAGGATAACTTTTTAGCAAATCCTTTATCCATATACTAAAACCAAATATACAGAAAATGTGTATAGCATATGTTCATTATTTTAAAAACAGAGAACATACTTTAAGTCCTGCAGAAAATTCAATGGATAAAATCATTATATTTTCAAGACCTTGATAATTATTCTGGGTTGGTAGGTTAGTATCTTTGTATTGGTTCAGAAATTTCTTTGCACTTATTAAATATATTTTTATGTTAGGCAGCAAATTTGTGATGTTCTGGCAAACAGGATAGGTTTTAATTTTAGACCATGGTGAATTCATAAATACAAGCTGTTGAACACATTGAGTTATAACAGCACTGGAGTGAAAAAATCTCTCCAGCTTAAATTTCATCCATTTAAATATTTTAAATTGTCCTCTACATTTCCATTCATATGTTTAATGGAATACTTAAAAGTTACAGTGAAATTTAAGCTCTATGAGATAATTTTTTTCTCTCTCTATTCCTAGTGTCTAGAGTTTTGCCTGTCATATTACAACTCCTCAATGACTATGATACGTACAGAGATTTACACAGGCACTATTTTATTTACCCATATTTCATGCATGTGTGCAATGCGCTACATTTTTCACTTTTAACAAACCACTGAAAAAATACTTGTGTTTTATTTCTCCTTCTAAAGCCAATGACGGAGGTTGTACGATCTCACACCCCAATGAAAGAGTCAACAACTGTGGAGATCTGGATTCATCCCCAACCACAGGTATGAAAGGAAACACTTGATATTTTTCTATTCCTTTTATTTGATTTTTATGAATGTATAAGAAATATTCTTAAATTGTGTTTCTCAATGTGTGTTCCAGGAAGTTTCTTTAGATGGTTTTGTGCCAGACGCTAGTATAAAAATATGACAGTAAATACATGTTTCTTCCTAGTGTTGTTTGCTAATGATAGTTGAGTTAATTTATTTGTTGAATAAGGTACAAGCATTCCTCAAAAAGTATCTTCTGAATGATTGCCTATTCCACTGATTTTTAAGTCTACTTCTGAAATTTTGGATTAAAAAAAATGACAACTGCTGTTTATAATATGATTTAATATAGGGAAATTTGTATGCTAATTAGGCAAATTTTAGTGAAACCTCACTAAAATCAGTTCGGGTGGAAACCAGTTTGATTTTTTAAATTAACTTATAAGGTACTTTAAAAAAAAGAAAATCACTTCTACTCATTTCAATCATAACAGCTCAAAATTTGACTAACAAATCCAATCCCAATTTTTTGCTAAGTAGAGACCCTTAAGAGGGCTTCAAAAATGGAGTGAGCAGACCAATATCTAAATATTTTTACACTATTTGTTATTTTGTGGCTGGTTAAATTACTATTTTTAATAAAGTGAAGGTTCTGAATCTGACCCTTTGGGTGCCAAATTAATAACTATAAATTGAACTCTACCCAGTTATTTTCATATGCATTTCATTTTTTGCAAAGCATATAAATTTAGAAAATATAGAAAAATAATGCTTAAGTACAATGTTAAAAAACAAACAAACAAACAACTATAATTGTTGCAGGGTCATTGAACATGACAGTCAGGAAAGAATTCTTGAGACCTTTTACAGTGCAACTTAGTAAGTTTATTCAAGTAGCACAGGGACAAGACCCATGGGCAGAAAGAGCTGAACTTTTGCTGTATGAAGCTAGTGGTTATATGCATAGTGCTCGAGTGGGTGGGGACATGCAGGGAGTATTAGATCATAAATATCTTCTTCAAATTTCTACTCATAAAACCACTTTTCCAAGATTTCTCTGGTGTTTATCATTCAGTACAATATTAACTATCAGTGAGACATACAGGCCATCATGAGACCCTTTAAGAATGTAGCACCCAGCATTTATTTGATCCTTATCAAAACTATGTAGGTTATAGGTCAGCCTTCTGGGCTAAAGGTGAACATTTTTATGCTTCTATCCCCCATCATAATGAAAAGAAAATAACATTTGTTTATTATTTATTATTTCATGTGTGTTTCTGAAATTTATGAAATTCATGTGTTTTGTAAAAATAACATTCTACAATATTTTACAAAGTTAATTTATGCTCTTGCAGAAGAGTTACAGAGTTAATATACTCACTATAGGGAAAAAATGATTAATCAAATAAAGGAACATTACAAGCTGGGAACTGTCCAAATTGTTACAAGTTTTAAATTACTCAAGTCTGACTTGGTGAGGTTTTGCCAAATTTCAAACTGATTTTCAAGCCTTGCATCTCTGATTCAGTCTCAAGAAAATTGATAAGCATATGGAATATAAGTAATATGATCTATATTTGTACCCTCAATTAAGAATCTATTGCAGTCCTTTAAATTTTGAAGGCATTTGCTATATATAATTGTTCAGCATTTTTAGAAAGTGTTTTCAGGAAGTTAAAAGAATCTATTGCAGTCTTCAGAAGAGCAGTTTTGAAGAAAAGTACACAACTTTAAAAAATGTACATTAAGTTCCAAAAATCTGAACAACCAGTGTGACATAGGGTATGACAGGGATAAATAGAAGTCAGATGGAATTAGACATTATTATGTAACACTCTTTATCTATGCATAAGAAGATGCTCTATCAACTATATATATATATATTTATTTATATTTATATATTTATATATATTTTTTCAAGCAATTATTTTTTATTGTATTCTACTAAATGGAATGCAATGTAATTAACTGTGCTAATTTATAACCAATTACTGATGCTTTCATCTGGAACTTAAAATCTTTTTAGAGACACATTCATTCCTTATATGGGGGTGGTTTTTGCTTGAGGCTGTTTTAGTTAAGTAAGTCTTTTAAGTATCTGACAACCTTGAGTGTCCTTACACTCTGAGACTTCAGTTAAAAATTAAAATATGTCAAAAAAGATTAAAATATGTCATAGAGTGTTGGATTAAAATATATAGTATTACTATGCATTTGATACAGATAAGGACTTTTCAACATTTTTTTGATAAACATTGTGCTTGCCTTTGTAAAGTTTGAAGAAAATATTTGTATTATGAATAAGCTTTTATGGTTCCTTATGAAGTATCTCATTTGACAAGATATTTATTTGCAATATTTAAAAAGCAATAATCAAGGAAAGAATATCCAATAGTAAAAAGACAGTCTCTTCAACAAATGCTGCTGGGAAAACTGGACAGCAACATGCAGAAGAATGAAACTGGATCATTTTATTAAACCATACACAAAAATAAATTCAAAATAGATGAAAGACCTAAATGGGAGACAGAAAGTCATGAAAGTCCTAGAGGAGAACACAGGCAGTAACCTCTTTGACATCAGCCTTAGCAACTTTTTACTAGATACATGTCCTGAGTCAAGGGAACCCAAAGCAAAAATAAACTATTGGGACTTCATCAAGATAGAAAGCTTCTACACAGCGAAGAAAACAATCAACAAAACTAAAAAGCAGTCTTCAGAATGGGAAAATATATCTTTTTGGGGGAGATATGGGGAAGGTATGTGCTATGGTGAGTGCTGTGAATTGTGTAAGACTGTTGAATCACAGACCTGTACCTCTGAAACAAATAATATATGTTAAAAAAAAAAAAAAAAAAGAAGATAGCAGGAAGGGAAAGATAAAGGGGGGAATTGGAGGGGGAGATGAACTATGAGAGACTATGGACTCTGAGAAACAAACTGAAGGTTCTAGAGGGGAGAGGGGTGGGGGATGGGCTAGCCTGGTGATGGGTATTAAAGAGGGCACGTACTGAATGGAGCACTGGGTATTATATGCAAACAATGAATCATGGGACACTACATCAAAAACTAATGATGTAATGTATGGTGATTAACATAACATAATAATAAAAAAAGAACTTATCAAACTCAAGAACTCAAGACCAAAAAACAAATAATCCAGTTAAAAAATGTGCAGAATAAAGAGAGGAGGCAAGATAGTGGAGGAGTAAGGGATCCTGTTTCAACTGGTCCCCTGCATTTAGCTAGATATCTATCAAACCGTTTTGAACACACACAAAATCAGCCTGAGATGTAAGAATATAGATCTGGATCTCTACAAGCAGAAAAGTGACTGCTTTTTGCAAGGTAGGATGTGCAGAGTCGTGAACCTGTGGGGAGCTATCAGAAGATAAACATTAGGGGGAGGGAGCCTCCATAAACTGGCTCCTGGAACATGATATAACACCAGAGTGCAAAATCAGAACCCTTAAAAATCTGCTCTAGTGAGAGACATCCTTCTCTGAAAGGGGCTCTGGAAATAAAAAGGCAGAATTCTAGGTAGGGCATTGTGGTCTTGGGAGCCGAATAGCCACAGAGCAAACGGGGGTGCCTGAACCATAAAGTGCCTGAGCAGTGGAGCCGGGAAGCAGGCTATGGTGAGTGAGCCGAGGACCGGACTCTCAGCTCAGATTGCCATAAACCACGAGCCAGGCTGGTCGGTAATCGCTCTTTTCCTGAGCAGCCTGAAAAAGACTGGAACCTGCACCCGTGACCAAGCAAAAGCTCACAGGGTGGTAGCAGCCCAGAAAGGACATTAGGGTGGCACCCAGACATGACCCAGGAGCTTTGGGTGCACAAGAGAGCCCATGGTAACTCACAGTTTTAGAGTCACAAAGGACAGTGGCACTCTTGGGCCCCTGGGACTACCTCTGAGAGAGTTGCCATGGGCCTGCAGCTCGAGAAGCTGTAGTTTTTGTTGCCTACAGAAGGGAGACTGTTTGTCCCAGAGAGTTGACTAAAGAGGGCAGACTATGACCTTCTGCTCTAGGCCAAAGTTTTGGGCACAGCCATTTTTGTTCTGATCCTCTGAAGAGGCACAGAAAACCTCCAAGGAACAAAAGCCACACAGAGGACCGTTTCCACTGAGTCCATTCCCCTGACAAGGGTGGGACAACTCTGCCCAGGCAGGAATACCTGAGAAACAGTGCAGCATGCCCCTTCTCCAGAAGACAGGCTGAAAGAACAGGTGGATGACAAGCCTATGGATTCCACAAGACTAAAATTCCAAAGCCAGGGGAAAATAGTATATTGAGCTCCAGGTATTGCCTCACAACTCGTTTATTTTGCAGATAAAATTATTTTATTTTCTTTCTTTTTCTTATGCTTTGTCTTTTTTTATACTTTTTCTCATTTCAACTAGATGTTTATTATACCAACTTATATTTCATAGTCGTTTTTAACTTGTATTTTTTCAATCTACATTTTTAAATAGATATGTGCTTCATTTTAGTCCTTTTTTCATTCTCTTCAATTTTATCTTTATATATATATGAATTACTTTCCTTGCAGTTTTGGGATGTAATGTCTTCTAACACACAGACCAAAGTTAACCCAGGAACAGGTGGAATACCCTGCTTTGTCTACACTGTGAAATTATACTCCCTCTTCCCCTCCCCCCACTTTTTAAAAATTTTTATTCTTGCATTTAAATTTGGCTTTGTTTTTCTGTGGTTGTTTCTGACCACTCTGGATTTTGCTAGGGTACATCTTGCTTGGGTCATTTGGACTCTGCTCATTCGCTCGCCCATCATTCTCTGGACAGAATGACAAGACGGAGGAACTCACACAAAAAAAGAATAAGAGACAGTGTTCTCTGCCATAGATAATCAAAATGGATATAAGTAAGAATGAGAGATAGAATTCACAATAGCAGTCATAAAGTCAATAGATAGGCTTGAAAAAAGCATTAGTGACAACATAGAAACTCTAAGGGCAGAAATGAGATCTAATCAGGCCAACGTAAAAAT